ATCTGCGATACCCCAACAAATCCCCGTTGCACGTTAACAAAATTAACATCACCTTGACCGGGGTCGAAACTCATAATTTGATCATCAAGGATTGCGAATATGTCGACGAACTTGGAAATACACTTCTCGACAACACACCCATTAGCAAATCTGTGGTTTTTTTTAAAAGATCCGTGGTGCTATGGGAAGCTCCCAACATGGGCGATAATGCACCTGCGATCACCCAATTGGATTTGAGATTCAATTTTGCCCTTGATGACAATCTGCCCGCTTCGTTTAAGGCTGCGTATCATTCGGGCGGATACAAGAATGGTGGAATAGTGTATAAATTAATCGCTGAAATACATACGCAAGGAATAGCAGCCAGCACAAATGTTCAAGCGGAGGTTTTGATAAATAGGTGGAGTCTTCCGAGCGAGAAATTAGAAAACCCAATCAGGATGATCCGATCCAATCATAATAGAACGGACGAGAATTCCCTAAATTCCCCCATTGACAAAATTAAGCACGAAGCGTTATTACATCAATTGTCATATGATATGAATACTTCGATCAGAATTCCGATTCGATTGATTCTGCCTACTTCCCGTTTGTCAATCAAAGAGATCACCGTTCAAATTAAAGAATATCAAAAATTAAAGCCAGGATTAGATTTCTCGGAACATGTCACCACCCGTGAAATCTTGAGGAAACGATTTAAAGGCGATAAATTAGCCCCTTTGATTAAAGATCCCAAAAACTTGAGTACCGAATATCTATTTAACGTCGATGCCGATATACCATCGCTCGAAGAGAATCTAGTGACCCCGAAAATTGAAAATGCTTTTAACATATCCCACCGAGTTTTTCACAAGTTAAAGATCAAGATCAAGTTTAATATCTTTAGAGAATTAACCTTGGAAGGTAACATCGAGATCAAGAATAGTGTGGATCAAGGAATAATAGAATTGGGAAGACTCAAAGGCGAAATTTATCCGCTAAACCATGTTCGAAATAATATCAATTAATTTTACGATACACACCGTACTTCCATCCGTAAGGATGTACGGTGTATCACTCGTTTCATCATATACATCATATAATCATCTCGAGTCGCAACAAGAAGAAATCGATTTTTCAAACACTAATTAATTAATCTGCTTCGAAAAAGGAACAAAGATTTTATTATTATTTTTTATAAAACCCTCATAATTAATGCGGTACACGTGATTATCCCTTTAGCTTTAGGGAAATTTTATTTTATATCCTTCGTTTATAAAAACATGTAGTTAGTATGTTATTTATGCATCAGAAAAGTAAATTATAATATGTAATAATAAGTCACCTCAATATTATGTTTAAAAATTTTAATTTAACACAAAAAAAATTCTATAATATTCTATACACTGTATATACTGTAATATCAATTTTTTGATGAGTCATTTAGTACCAATAAACGCGGATCCCGATCCTATGAACATAATGTGGCATTGTATTTTCTAGTTGAAAAGATTAATAATCATAAGACGTCATGGTTTTTCGAAAAAAGCTTAATTGCATATATGGGTAATTATTTTTGAAGGCAGCAAGAATAAATTATTGGGGCTTTTTGATTTTTAAATTGCAATCTTATAACCAAGAGCACGTGATTTAATAGAAATCGCGATATTATCTTTACCTCAAGTCTTTAGAACTAGATCATTGATTTGATTGTTCGTTTTGATGTCAAACAGTTAAATTAGAGACTGTTTATGATTTTGCGCAAACTAATCTAATCAGAAACATGCGCCCGTGCCACTATGAAATGCAAGAAATTGGTATTCAAAATTTTTTTTTTACAATTCGCACCGAGAACAGTTCATGTAAGAATTGACTTTTTATGTGAAAAAAATTTTTTTCAGCAAGTCGTTGGCTCGGGGCAATTCAACAAAAGTTCTTCCTGCTAAGCCTTATATATCTTTGTAATTCGCTCACTTATATCACACATACGCAATGACTTGATAAATTTCCGTTTACATAATACTGACGTAATGTGAAATGGGATATTTAAAAGAAAGCGATTCCCAAGGTAACCCCTTCTCATCTTTCAAAAAAGAATCAAAAAAGAATCAAAAATGGAATCCTTCCGCAAAGTCAAAGACGCTACACCCGAAAATGCTAGCAATGTCTCTTCAACGCCTTCAAAATACTTCTCTGGTCACATTACGCCTCCCACGACCCCAATTTCCAATCCTTTAAATCTCGGATCCGGTTGTTTTGATCCTACTTCTTCGTATGAAAAGCTTAGCTCTTTAGCTAAAGATTCCACTCCTGTGAAAGACCTAACGGACGTTGGTGATGGCGTAGACGAAGATGTGTCCGACATCGATGAGTAGTGAACACTGAAATGATGTATTCGTTAACAAAAACGATCACCACATTGTATATAATTTAGCTTTATCATTCGAATAGCACATTACTATCATGTTTTACAAAGTCTGCATTTGATATGTTTTTTTCGTTTCATTTTCAAAATTTTTTATTTTTTTCTTTTTACGAAAAAGAATTACTGTGTAATGGTTTTCGAATTTTCTTTTAAGAAAATGTATTGTAGTTATTTGATATAGGTTTTATCTCGCAAAATAAAATTACTTTGATCTGCATCACGTGATATTATTGGGAAAAAAATTATTTATGTCAACATGAATCATTGTTCACTCGACGAACTGATACCATAGTTTAATTCATAGTCTAGCTTTCTCAATTATTATTATGACTTTACAACGTAAGGAATTTGGTATCACAACTGTCGACGAAAATGACCTTCTGCACATCACAGCTCTGGGTGCTGGTAATGAAGTTGGGAGATCTTGTCTAGTGATC